CTCAAGAATGAGATAGGAATTGGGGGGATAGGGTCCACAGAACAAGATGCTGTGTCGCCTGGGAAAGAGAAGATGTCCAACCTGGAGCAGTATGAGCAAAAGGTAAGTTAGTCAGATCTGTGGGTTCCTGAAGGAGGGCAAGAGCAGGGGCCTGGACTCCTGGGTCTGAGGGAGGAGGGGCTGATGACATGGATTTGGGGATCCTAGGAAGAAAAGGGATGGGGAATACCCGCTTGGGCCCCTAGGGAGAAAGAGGACAGGCGCAGACTGCTGGGTCCCTGACACTTCCTGATCCCCCAGGTGAATGCATCTGTTCCAAGAGGTTTTCCTTTTCACTCATCGGAGATTCAGAGAGATGAACTGGTAAGAGGAGGAATATCCCAGGTACTTAGGGGGAGATGTCAGAGGTCAGTGGCTAGGCTGTGACTCTCAAAGCCACACAGGACCCTGCTGAGCCTCAGAGACGCCCCCTGCCCCATCTGCTTTCCTTGCAGGCACCAGCTGGCACAGGTGTGTCCCGTGAGGCTGTGTCTGGCCTGCTGATCATGGGAGCGGGCGGGGGCTCCCTGATAGTCCTCTCCATGCTGCTCCTGCGCAGAAAGAAGCCCTACGGGGCAATTAGCCACGGCGTAGTGGAGGTGAGAGACATGAAGACACAGTGTGGGCATGTGGGCCGTGAGATCTGTGGCCAGGCTCCCCGTGCCCCACGACCGCTCCCCGTTGCAGGTGGATCCCATGCTGACCCTGGAGGAGCAGCAGCTCCGTGAACTGCAGCGACACGGCTATGAGAACCCCACCTACCGCTTCCTGGAGGAAAGACCCTGAACTGCCTCCTTCACACCTTCAGCTGAGCCCAGACCTTCCCTCTTCCTAGAGCCCCAGAACCCCACCCTAGGGTAGGGGGGTCTTGAAAAGTTCATTTCACACCCTTTGTGAAGGGGCCCTTTCCAGTACCAAATTCCATCCCTAAGAAATCCCCAGGTATTCCCAGCTCCCTCCCCTCTTAGGACCTCTTCACCTTAATTTATTTTGTAAGTTAATTTATTGTCCCTTAAGGTGACCACCCCCTTGGTCCCAGTGTCTGTTGTTCCCTGGAATTCACCCTCCCACGCTTTCCTCACTAACAACCCAATAAAATTCTCTTCCCCACCAGGCCATCCTGTGTCTCTATGGGAGCTTCGGTGTGTAATCACACCTGGGTGCAGATATCCATCCCTGCCCGGCCACCTTCATCTCTTTAAACTGGATGGTGGAGCTTTAAATCTGGGCAGGGCCTGCGAAAAGGGCTGGCGCGCAGGGGGTGGGTCCCGGAGGCCTGGGGTAGGCTCCCGGCGTCTTCCCAGTAGCTTTCAGTGGTGCTGAAAGGGTCGCGACTTCTGGGCCCCTATCTGCTGGTTACCAGGGTGGACCCCAAGGAGGCTGGGCTCTGACAAGTTTCCCCTGCCTTCTACTCACCCTCAAACATAATCACACACAACATCCACCCCAACCTGCAAGCCCTATGAGGGAATGGGGATCTTGAGCCACCCTTCCCATTCTCAAGTCTTCTCTTCTAAGGGAGTCCATAGGAATCCCCCTGGGGAGTGGAAATTCCAGTCACGTGTCCCAGAGAGAGCTATGTGATGTCTGCCAGCACCTATTAGAATTTGTACTCTCACGTGTCCCGTTTTTGTGACGAGTTGGAGTTGGCCCTCTACTTATGCTGTTACCTGTCCCGAGAGGGTTGTTATTGAGGATTAAAAGGGTTGCTATTGGGGCCGGCCTGTGGCTCACTTGGTAGAGTGCGGTGCTGATAACACCAAGGCCACGGGTTCGGATCCTATATAGGGATGGCCAGTTTGCTCACTGGCTGAGCGTGGTGCTGACAGCACCAAGCCAAAGGTTGAGATCCCCTTACCGGTCATCTTTTTTAAAAAAAAAAAGGGTTGCTATTTGTGGAGATGTTAGAACTGTGCCTGCCATTTAGCAAGTATTTGATAAATAAAATCTTAAGCATTATGGCAGCAAACACTCATATGGAGCTCACTTTGCGCCAGGCACTGAGGGCTTTATATGCAATGACACACTCATTATTTCCATCCCTGACACAATCATTATTTCCATCCCACGGAGTAGGTACGACAGTCCCCATCTATAGATTAGGAAACGGTGGCAGAGAGAAGTTACATCATGTGCCCAAGGTCACCATCTAGAAAGGGTCAGAGCTAGGAATTCAACCCAGGCAGCCTGGTTCAGCGCCCATATTCTTGGCCATTTTACTAATCTGCTGTCTAATAACTCAAAGCAGTCCCCATATGGTGTTCAAATTGAGCACTGCAAAATTCCAGGGGATACCCTTCACCTCTTAAACATTATAGAATTTGCCTTTTTACCACAACTTCCCAGCAGATGGCAGTAACGTACCATGTTATAATGTCAGTCACATGATTTTTCAGACAGATGGCTTGGGGAGGGAGCACCTATTTCAGATTCTGCCAAAAGGCCCATGAGCTAGCAGTAGCTCCTCAAAATATGCACATGTAAAAACAGGTAATGCATATTAAATATACACCTGGCAGATGTTAGGAGGAAGATGCCTTCATGGTGCAAGTTGAATACAATATCGCAGCTTCATTAGAGAGCTCAGTTTGCACTATTATTCTGATACTGGTTATACCTTCGGTAATACTCAGAGGAGCTTAGCAGAAATCTATCACTAATGCCACAGGCAGGCAGGAAAGCTGCCTTTGTGTTTTCACAACCAAGAGTGATCAAAAGGCTAACAACAGGTAAGGAGCTCCAAGTAGGTGGGACAGGAAATGAAAGGCCATTTTGCTCAATATGGTCAGAATGTGATTCCTTAATAAAGTTTTTCCGTTTGTTTGTTTTTTGGTGTTTTGGGCATTTGGCCGGCACAGGGATCTGAACCCTTGATCTTTGTGTTATCACACTGTGTTCTAACCGACTGAGCTAAACAGCCAGCCCAATAAAGTTTAATTTTAATGGCAATACTTAGAGTAATTAATTTTAAAAGACTGTCATTATTAAAATTCCATCAGGAAAAATAATTTTGCTATTGCTCATTTGATGCTCTTGTGTCCCTAAGCCTTCTTTTCCATTGAAAACAATTTTGTTAATTCTCCTTTTAATAATGCAGAGTTTCTTAGGGACATTCTATCATGTCGGTGGTGTGTGTGTAAATGTCTTAGTTCGGGCTGCTATAACAGAACACCATAGACCCGGTTACTAAAACAAGTTACTTCTTACCATTCTAGAGGTTGGAAGTCCAAGATCAAGGTGCCAGCAGATTCAGTGTCTGATGAGGACACTCTTCCTGTTTTGTAGATGGCCATCCTCTTGCTGTGTCCTAACATGGCAGAGAGGAGAGAGAAGTAAGCTCTCTCATGTCTCCTTTTATAAGGGCATTAACCTCATCATGAGGGCTCTACTCTCATGACCTAATTACCTCCCAAAGGCCCCACCTCCAAATATCCCATTGGGGCTGTGGCTTGTGCTCCCCCCCGCAACATATAAATTTGGGGGGAACAAAAATATGCAGTCCATAACAATACAAATCAGGATAGACATCTTATATGTCAACAAGATCTCAGATGCCATCAATGATAAGAAATGGCATTATTTTATGTACCCCAAGAGAAAAAAAGGCAAAAATTAAGTCATGTCACACAATTGACTGTAAGATGAATTCCAATGAAGTTCTTCTTAGAATCAGTAAAATATAGCATAGTCTTCAAAATTCTTCATGTGTCAGCAGCATTATGTGAGTATATACAAGAGCACATACACGCTGTCACAAGGCAGCCAGTGTGGCCCCCTGATAACTCTGTCTCCCAATATTCATGCCCTCAAGTAATATTCCCTATGCTGAGTCTGGACTTGGCCACATGACTGACTTTGACCAATACGATGTCAGTGGGCACAATGCAAGCACGGGCTTGCTTTCTTGAAACTCTTTGAAACTCTTTCTCTTGGAGCCCTTAAGCCACCATGTGAAGAGATCACCTAACCTCCTGGACCACTCCCAACAGCTTCAGCCACCTCAGCCAAGCTATCAGACATGTGAGTGAAGTTGTCTTGGATTTCCGGCCCAGTCCAACCTCCAGCTGACTTCAGCCCCATGGACGACCAAAGCAAGACAGCAGAACTGCTGGCTGAGCCCAATCCAGATTGCAGGTTCATCAACAAAGAAGAGATGGTTAAGTTTTGGGGTGGAGACATTGGCACGAGCCCTGTAGTGTGCTAACATACACTTGGTTTGTTGTCCATAAAAGACTCTGAGCAGGAGATGCTATGGTGAGAGGGCTTTCTAGGGTGGGGAGCTGGAGCTTCATTCTATTGGGGAATTCCAAGGGCCTGTTTACAACATGCACTCCTGCAGGACCTGAATTTTTTTTTTTTT